TATAACTAGGTTTTCATAATTATACTTTTGCTCTGTTTAGAAATGAAGGTTGGTAAATTTAATAAGAATCAGTGCAATATGTAAATAAATGAAAAAAACAGTGTCATGATTCAGATCACCGAATTTCTATAGGCACTGCCAAACATTGATTGAGTGACAAGCCACCATTACAACAGTGAAAAACAGTCAAAACAAGCGTTAATTTTATAATATCACAGCTTTTGTTTGAGATGGAAAATCTACCAAGTATACAAAGAAAAGTAGCAAGAACTGTGCATGTCATGAGTGCCAAAATAATTTTAGAATAATTGCATACATGGAAGAATTCTCAATGTGAAATTCGCAATTGTTTACATTCTGAGTGTACTTGTGTTCACTGCCAAATTTCCTTCATATGATGCCAAAAAATGAAGGCATTGCCAAAATTTGGAATTAAACCTAAACAAAAAAAACTTCCCCAAGAAAGGAGTTGTTCACTTAAAACATATTCTGGATGGCAGACTATTTGAACAAAACCCAGCTCCTACAATTTTACTTGGTTAATGGACAAAGGTAACACGAGGTATGTAGAAACTTGTACGAGTAACTTCCTCTAAGAAATGTGCATATTTAAATTATGACAATACAGCCATTACCAATTCTCTAGACGAGGAAAATTACAGCACCAATGTAGGAAACATAATTTTTTAATATTCGCAAACAGCCAAATGGCAACCATTATAATAAATGGTTTGTCAGACCATACTGTCCACGTATACAAGGTTTAATCATAATTTAATATTCGTCTGTTTCAAAACACCGATTTAAATAGTAATACTCACTCTTCAAACACTAACATCCATACTGAAGGAAAATAACTGGTAAATTTTAATAATTAAAAGCAGAACCTAAATACAAAAAAGGTTCTAGTGCTTGACCACAGTTAAGATAGACAATGGGCCCCAAATCCCAGTATGTGTTAGGCTGTTTTCAAATCAAAGCTACAACCATGATGATTTTTTCTTTATAAGTTATTCATCAATGTAACATACCAATAAATCATAAGCTCTTTGTACATTCTGTTAATCTCAGTGAATTCACTCACTCATCAAATACTTTCTTACAAAAACAAACCCTAGCAGTAAGCTAATTAATAAGGTAGGACAACAATTTGGAGAAATAGAAGTATTTCAGATTATCAACTCTATTTTTGACATACATTATATTACATGGGATATCATTAATACATTTATAACCATTATTTATGTACCAGATAAGAAGCTGAATTCGATGGATACTTGTACAGTACATACAAGTTGTTCTTGCATATAATAACCTCTAGGACCATTTTCTCTTAGCATCAAGTTAACACATTCTATAATTACATCATACTTACCACGTGAAAAATATTTAATCTGATGACTGTAATGTTATGTTTGCCACAGGACTTTTAATTTGAAGAATTGTATAATTCCCAAGTATGCCATCAGGGTTTATAAACAACCAATTTCCATTATGAAAAACAAATATTTCTGCATTTGTTTTTGAGATTTAAATTTTTGGAATCAATAAGGTAGTTTTTTTTATCAGCTTCTTTTTGCTAATTACCATGTTTCATAAAAGTATTTCTTTATCAGCTTGTTTTACTCATTGCCATGTTTTGTAAAAGCATTTCTCTGAAATTTTGAGTTTATGTGTTGGCTTAGAAAATTCACATAATGTTATTTCCTAAATGGCAGCTTATGAGCATTACTAGCACTAATCCTTTACTTTATTCCATCAGTCTACAGCTTGGATTTACTCTGCATTTCTGTACCATTTTTCAAACTTTTTTTTATCACTAACCCTAACAAATTTTATATAGGAATTGAGAACTCCATGTGATTCATGCTGTTTTGTTGCCTTATAACTATGGTTGCTGCATAACTTTAATTTGAAATAAAGATGACAAAACTGACCCGTTTACACACTCAATAAAATAACTCCTCCCATGATATGCCTGAGATAATGTAGGTACCTCCATGTTTCCAAAAATATTTGCCAGATTTAATTTGGGAACACTTTTTCACCACACTTTTAAATAGTTTCTTGAATTTATTCACATCTTATCATGTATTTCAATCAGAGCTAACTATATGGTATTGGAAATGTTGTTTGCTCTGATCTCTATCTGATTTCTTCTGAATTATGTATCATAAACACTGGAGAAAAGTATTCCTATTCTTTACTCTAGTTTCACTGAAATAATATATATTGTGTATAAATCCAGTTTTGTAAAATTTGTTTATCACCTACATTTTGTGCAGAAATATAACAGACCATAAAATAACTTTTGTTTCATTAATATATAAGTATAAGCTATCAAAAAGTAAAACAAAAAAAACAGACTTTATTTGAGCTCGTTTCCAAGGAAAGCCTAACACAGAAGGGGTTAGGTAACTTTGTGATAAGCACATGGGCATGTCACAGGAACCAGAATCTTTTATTTTCAATGTGATATCATTATTTATCTTCATTTTTTAAAACCTATTGCATTTACACATTTGAGTTAAATATTTCATTTGGTGCCACTATTCCACATTACTATTTCATCAGTACAGCTTACACCACATGACATGCTGTTAGAAGATTTCATTATTCTACCACTATCACAGGTTTTTTTGATGGATGATACGGCCGGCCAACGAACCACTTAAGTACTTGTGACTCTTCATGCTCTTGTACTTCCTCATTTCTTCACCATCAACTTTTTTTTGATAACATAAGATAATTTTAAATATTATGGTGCCATACTTGGGCACTCATGCATATCGTCTTTCTAGTTCTTCATTACAAAACGTTAGTAATTGATTCAGTTACCATAGTGATGATATGGAAGTTCTGAGGAAAATATTTCCCAGAGTGATACCCAAAACACAAATAATTAAATCAATCTAACCTCAAACACATGCACAGATAATCTCCTATTCTTTAGATGACATTCTGGTCATAATGGTGGATGGTACAGTAATGCTATCTATGAGCAGTATTTGTTACCAAGAAAGATAATCTTATGGTGTATTGTAGGTTTATATAAATTTAATTGCCATCTCAAAGATAACTTTTACAAATAAAACTGCCCATCTGTAAATTCAGAAAAAAATTCTAATATTAACATTAATAATCAAACATTTAGGCAAAATGTAACATTTATTGTAATTAAATAATATAATAACTAGCACTACAAAAGTTTTAATACATAGCAAGTAATATTCATTAAAAAAAAAACAGCTAATCAGTTCATTTTACAATTACCTAGCTACAGGGTCACAAATTTATTATTCCACAGTGTACTATCAGAATTTTGTCAATTGTAGAATGTTCTGTATCACATGATACTTTAAAATTTTAATGGTATTTGCTACTTGAGAATTTTCAACATCCTTCTGCAAGAGTTGAAGTTTTCCTCTTGTCATTGTTGTAATCTTTATGAATGAACCTTTGGCAGCAACAGGTTCTCCAATAATGAAACTTTGACCTGCTAGAATGAGGTCTCTTGGTTCCAGTTGATCTAAGAATTCACATACCAAAGTTGGCTCCTCGGTACTTATACTTCCCCCTATACCCAAGTGATACATTTTATTGCACAAACAGATGTGTATTTGTAGTTTTTGTAAAGTGCTGGCCATACATTATGGAGCTTCTAGCAAATCTTGCTATATATATATATAAAGATGTTCTCTGTTCTTCCAAAATCAAGAAAATATCATGGCACTTCAGCAAAGCAGGACATGGAAAAGGATCAATAGATGGTGTTATTGAGCTGTTGAAGCACATAGTAGGTAAACTTGTCCACGAGGAATTGATATTTATCTGTCTACTTTTGATAATAATCTAGCTACATCTTGTTTTGATATAAATTTTTTAAAGTAAGCAATGAAGGTATCAAGACAGTGATACTTAAAATGCCTGTACATGTTGGTAAACAAATGATATGAAAAAAAATTCATATATTACCATTTCTACAAGAATTAATGTTTTGAATGCCCCTTACGATAACATACACAAGCACCATTCCTTAGGAAAAGGGAAAATAGACATACCACTTCCAGTGCTGAATACCACTGCTATGGAAATAACAATTTATAATGATGAGATGGAGGCCAACTTTACAGTTACATCTACCAACTCCTGGTACACCTAGAGATCTGCTAATATCTCAACCTAAACATGAGAACTGGGTTTTCATAATTTATGATGATCAGTGCTGTAACTTTTGAAACTAGTTCTTACTATAAATACTAGCTTTTTAAATTTTTGCATTAAAACATGTCACTTTGACCTACGTATATATGTTAATATGCCCTTCAGTTTTACTTACAGACCTTGGAGAGGAGCAGCAGAAGTATCAATTGCAGCTTAATTTCATGGCCAGGGGTATGAAAAGGTTCTAATGGCTAAAAAGATTGCCAAATTCTAACTTTACCTACCATCCATAATCCTATGCAAAACTGTTGTACATCCACACCCACTCTGAAGTAGATATTTTCTATCACAGGCATGAAAGAGATTGACAACATTTTTGAATATACTTTGTCACATCAGATACTACAAGTTTCCAAGAACATATGATTTTTTAATTCACATTACTTGTAATTGTTTTTAACAAATAACAGTCTGTCAAACACATGTTCTACTATTCTTTAATAAACTTTTCTTTCACACCGAGTTCCTTAATCAGAAGTTCAGTTTTAAGGTTATTATGCTCTTACATTCATTACATAGCTTTTTTGCCAGCATACTTTTATCTAAACAGTGTTCATCACTTATAATATGCTTAATTTACTCTAAAACTATAGTGGAAGTGAAGCTAGTCATGCTAATCAAAGTTTACATCATAATGTCAGTTATGTAGTGCCCAACCCATACCTGTAATTGGAACTTCAGTTCTGTAATACATTTCTGTAAGTACAACAAAAGAGTCTAGAAATATACAAGTCTATTTAATCTTGAAATATATTTCCTAAAATATAATACAGAGCACTAGAGATCACATTGGAAATGTCTTTAAGGCCACGGTAAAAATGAACTAAGAAAAAAAAGTTGAATTTAGAGTGGAAAATTTACTAAAGATGCAATATTTGAGGCTCTTTGGTATGGTACACAACAGAAGTTGGCTAATTATTGTTTTGAGCTGAGAAACAATGTAATGTTACACAAACAGATCATTTTAGTAAACTCACAGCTTAAAAGTTTAATCATTACAAAACTAACATATTTGTCCACTCTTTCTGGTGTATAAATAAGCAGTAGTCTTGAAACACACTAATTATTTAAGGACAATATATTTTTCATTTGAAGTGACCTCAGATATCAATATGAAAATCATTTTAAAGATCATCTTATTTCATGACCTATCATTATTGCAAAATTGAGATTTTAAAACTTTTATTTACAGAATATAAATAAACTACATTGTTAAGAACAGCAGAATAAATTCTTTGTATCCCAGAAAGAATAAAACCTTTTTAAAGAGGGTAAAGAAAAATCTATGGTATACAAATATGCACACACATATATGTATGACCATCAATAAAGAATAAAAACAACTAGGTTATATATTTGAATCATACAGATATTCTATAATTACCTATTAAATAATTTTTAATTCTTTGGACTTGGATGTATATTTAACAATAATTACAAATAACATTGATGAAATCAAAAGAAAGTTTATACACATATCACTGTCTTCAAAATCTGCTAATACCCATCCATGAAAAGGAAGGAATGGTTATCACAACAGAGCCCCATCTGAATCAACTGCTGAAAGATGGTCCAAAATGTTCTGAAGCTGAAGTCGCAAGTTTTGGGAATTTTTCTTACCTTCAGTTTGGAAAGTAACCTGCTGAGTCCTAAGATGTGTTTCCAACTCACTGTCAATTTTAGAGTTTTGTGGCAAATTTTGTCCCTGCTGGTACATGTAGGTAGCAGCACTAGAGGGGAAAGGAAGATCTCGTCTGTTTACTTGGAATGACTTTGTCGGTTTTAGTGGTATAGACAGGTCTAAAGAATCAATAAATTCATGTTGCTTCAAAGGGTCTCTGTGAAGTTTGTTGTTATGTAAAGGATCAAACTCACTACAAATACTATCCATTTGTTTTGGATGTGAATTTCTGTCCAAATTCATCACAGCATCATAGTTAGAAGTGATTCTTTCATTAGTATGAACATTTTTCTGCCGAGAAATGGTAGATGGAATACTGTTTTTGGACACAGATTCTTCCTTCTCTAACATCTGCTTTGTTGTCAAGAACTTATGCTGGATAAGTGAGGTAAACTTCAGTGTATCTAGACCTTGTGATAAGTTATAACTGTTGGGTAATTTTGTAAAAGTACTTGGGGTGGACGTGGCATAAGGAGGAGTTTTTGTTCCTATCTCTAAAGAATGATGGTTACTTAAAGATAAGCTGTGTTGCATCGATGTAATAATATCATAATGTCTAATATCTTTGGCCCGAGTACCAAGAAATGTTAAACTAGTGGAAGAACTTGTATCCTTTACATTCTTGGTATTTAATATTTCATTAGCACTCAATGCAGAATTTGTAGTGTCTAATGTTAGGAATGCAGGGAGGCTTTGTGATTCAACACAGGTTTTTGAAAGTTGCTTGGTTAATTCTGTATCATGGAGTTGTTGATAACTAGGATATGCAGTTGTACGTTCCAGAAATTCACTAAGCTGTTTGTTAAGTTCTTGGTTTTCTTGAGTTAGAGCTTGAAGGGAATTTTCAAGCAAGATAATTTTGGCTTGCACAGTTTCTAATTCTATCTTATTGGCTTGTAGAGTAATGTATAATTCTTCTTTTTCACTCTGAAGTCGTTTTATTTTACCCCAGAACTTCTCACATCCCACTTTTTCTGCTTGCTGGAAATCTTCTAACTGTTGAATTTTGGTATGTAAAACATCATTTTCCATAACACAAGTTATCAGCTGTCTTTGAAGTTCCAAGATATTTGTTTCTTTCAGAACAGAGGACACTTTGACCTGACTAGTCACTCCTAGTGGGAAAGAATATGATACTTCCAGTTTTCTTGACTTACCATTTTTTGATATTAAGTCCAAGCCTGCAATTTTATCATCCGACCAGTGTCCACTTTCCGTAACATCAGGCTTAACATACTGATCATATAAATCATGAATACGAAACTCTAGCTGATCCTTCTCAAAGAGTGTTATTTCAAGTCTTTCTTCAAGTAGCTTTCTCTCACTTTCTAGTTCCTGACAAGCCAATTCCAGCTGCATTACCTTATCATGTAAAGAGTTTCTTTCCTTTTCAACTTGTTTCAGTTTGACTTCTATAGTATTCCTTGTGTGGTGGTTAGATACAAGATCTTGTAGGTAGTTTGTTAAACACTCTCCATTCTTTATATCTCGTTCCTTATCTATATTATCCAACTGCTTTCTGAGTACAAGTCCTTTTTGATTAATAGTATCCAAAAGAACTGAAAGTTCATCACCCACCCCTGACTCACAAGATTCTCTTTGATCCCTTTCTACTTGTGCACACATATTAAAATTATAAGTATCACTAATGAGTTTTAAACTACTATTTTGGCCAAGGTCTCGACAGTCAGAATCCAAGCCACTATCTTGTTTATTGTCACTCTCCATCGTTAACCTTCCTTTTGAATCAGCAGGTATATTATTAAGAAAACTTGGAGTTGCATGTAAAGAAGCTAAATGGTGGGATGCTTTCAATCCTAGACCACTGCTCTTAAAGTGTCCAGACTCGGAGGTAGCTGGAACCGGGCGAATTACCTCATTACTAGAATATTTGTTCCTGAATGATCTTTCACATTCATGATCACACATTACTTGTTGCTGAATGCCTTGAAATGCTGTGGCAACACTGTCTTGAAATGCTTCATTAACTTTCACACGTTCTTGCAGTTCCTAGAATAACAGAAATTTTTTTGTTAGCTATAATTAATTTAAGTTTTTTTTGTTTAAGTACATATAAAGGCTTGATTTTTTTCCATGTTCCAAAAATTAATAAGCAGAATTATGATGCCACATGGAAATAAAGTTTACAGTCATTTATGACTACTGTGGAAGATAAGCATACCATGCATTATTTACCTCTTAATTTTAATACAGTATTATTAAAAAATTCAGTTATTATGAATATCTGCAGTTTTTTGCATAACAATTGAACAAGAAAGTTTTTATGCTGATATTATTCCAGCTAATTTTGTTCTTTTTCATTCTCTTGAGGTAACATTTGGCCTGCCAATGGGGAGTGTGCAAGAATGACAACAGCAGTGTCCTCTAGTGGTAGATCAGGTGATGACTCAAAATTACTACCCCTATTGAGTTTGAATAAGAATGACTAGTCACATGTTAATGCTAGTCACTCTAGAGTAAGTCTAATGTCACCTTTGAAGTAAGTAGTGTTAGGTTGAAACAGTCTGATATATGATCTCGACCAATACAGTTTGGAGAGAAAACAGTTTACTATCTAATAAAAGAAACTGATCAGTGTCCTAAGTAATTACACATACTGTGTTAATAAAGATTGTTCATTCGTGTTACATTATGTCCAGTCTCTTTATTTTATTCTCACACACTCAGTTAATCAGAGGAATTCAGAATTACTATGAAATATGCATTGTCAAATCTCCTGTTATTCAATGGACCTATTTTATTGCTCCAGAGAAAATCAATTTCACCCGAATGTATCACACTATAAATACATTGCAGACTTTACATAATTTGCCTGTTACTAACTGTTTTATAGTAAATACTAATATTTTATGAGGTAACACTTTACATAATTTAAAAGCTGAATAAACTATATTCTTTGAGAAAATGTTCTCATTGGACTTTCTTTAAAAAGCATGTAACATGAAATTTGTATGCAAACTTAACTTTTCTGTTAAAACTTAGATCTATGAAAGAACACAAAAATTCAAAAAAATTTAACATTACAAAGCCCTCAGTTTTAAGTGTATTAATGTCAATAGCAGATTTACAAACACTCCTATCCAACAAATAGCACCATTTATTTGAAAAAAAAGAAAAAAGAACAGTAAACAGTAAAATGGAAATTTTAGAGAAATCATCCAAATACCAGGATAAACAGCTTTTTTGTTTCACTTTTGAATGCATCTAAATGGGTATAAAATTTGTAAATTTATATTTCTTATAATAAAATGTTATTGTTCTAACATATATTGTTATCATATCACAAAAGTTTCTTTAACATCACAAATATTCTTTATAGAAATTCAGTTGTTAGCCCATGTCTCAATAAAATATTTCACCATGTATGAGTAATTTATTATTTCTAAAGTTAATATTTCCTGAATACCAGTTTCCATCTTAATAACCACGACAACAATTCCAAATGTGTACTGATTCTAATATTAAAACTTTAACTACATCGGTTTACTCTCCCCCCTCCAGAACTCAACTATGTAATGTTAAAGGACACAGAAAGAGTGAATGACACTTTAATGAAACATTACAAAACATTTCCCATAATGCCTTGTACGAGCAATACTTTTGTCAGCTCTGTTTTACGTTCTAAATATAATTTGCTAAACATACATCTATGATACAGTGTTTTAGAATTACAAGATTCAAGTTTAACCTGGTCAGTGTCTGGTGAAGTTAACAAATAATACAGCTGTGTTTAAATGATATATTATTAGATACTGAATGGTGTATGCAAGGTTATGCATGACTCACACAGGCTAATACTTACCTTTAGTAGTGAGTAACGTAAAAATTCTCCATATCAATGTCACATTAAGTTTCATATCCAAAATGTCTGTAAGCACTAACAAGTAAATGTTCTCAGCCACAATACATAATATTTTATTATATACCAGTCTCTACAGTTGACACTGATTTTATCCATACTAAGTCACTAGGTGATTAAAAGATTTGGGGCTCAGGCCCACAGACGTGGGAATTTTCAGCATTCAGTATGCTATTGATCATGGTTTTCTATGATGATTTTTAAAGACACAACTGGGGATTCAGGGCACTGTCAGATAGAAGTGGGGCACAGCCCCATGTGCCAGTGCCTAGTGATACCTCTGTCCATACTATAAACATGATTAACATTGTTGCTGTAGCTTTCAAGCATCCATAAATAACAATTACATAAAAAATAAAAATGATGTAAGCTTTTTCACCTTAATTCATTTGCACTCATACAATCAAGGTGAAATATACGGTTATGATAATGAGTTTGACACAACACTAACAATTTAAGCAACTGGTAAAACACTTGACTCTTGGTGACATTCAAAGCATTAAATAAAATACCTAAAAAGAATGCAACAGTTCACCAGTTTGGAGGTGCTCAAAGTCTATTTAATTGCTGTAAGAACCTAATTTTTCTCTGTGATTATTTATGAATAATATATGGACATATGAACTGAGCTGAAAATTTCGTACTTTGCATGTAAGCAAAGAGAACACAACTCTCTGATGTACTCTGCCATTTTTTGTAAATATCTGAATACATACAGACTGGCATATTTAGTTATAATGTGTTTGATTGTTTGTTACATACTGAGGTTTTAAATCATGCTTTATAAGAATGACTTTCCAAACCCTGTGTTACTCTTTCAACTATTTACCTTGTTGTCAAACGTGCTCAATTGGATGGCCATAATTATGGTGTTACTGCCTAAAATTCAAATTTCCTTTGTGTATGTAACAAGCTTCTGTGAAGAATGGTGAGGTTATTCTTATATCACAAATCTTGATAAATCATTTACATAACCTCTAAAATACACTAACATCAGTTTCTCCAAGATCACTTTCAAGCAAGCTAAAGGCACAAAAGTCTACTGGAGTTACATGTTCAACCTGAGAGGTACATGGTTGAATGGGATTTGTGAGATTCCAATTTTCTTCAGATGTTTTCTAATGAAAACAACTAGTGACATCCAGATGTGAACTTTGGATATGGTATTAACTTACAATCCTTATTTATTATCTTGTTAATGTTATCAATTGTATGCTCAGCTTCACTGCAGTGACTTTTTGGCTCCAAAACTACTTCTCCATAATCAAAGCCTTTACTCTGACAATGATGGCAGAACTTCAATTGACTTGGGTTTAGTTTCAGAGTTGTTTACTGGCCTAAATGCACTGCTATACAAGTTTCTCTGCTTCTTCAAAATGTAAGATCTTTTGGTTCTACATTATTTAAAACCTTCTTGTGAATCAAATATATAGATACTAAAAGGTGCTGTCTTATCACCACAGCTTACATTTGCAGTTGTGCTCCATTTACACTAGCACAAATTGTTATTATAATGCATCTCAGTACAACCGTGCACCTTAAGTATTTTTTGTTTATTTATTATTTAAAGCTAATTCCAATTTTAAGATATAACCATAAGTACATCATGGTCACCACCAATATAAATTTCCACAGTTATTACAATGTTTTTTGTTTTTTTATATGTACAAAAATATGTTGTTTATTAACTAATTTATTGCATGGAACAAGATCATATCAAGAGAGAAAATTTGCAAAATAGTCTTGTTCTGAATCATTCACCATGAGAATAAACAATATATATATATATATATATATAATGGTATAATTATTATAACAGAATTATTTATTCAAACTAATATTATGATGCCATTATGGTAGAAGGAATGTTGATTCCACAAGTAAGAGATGTCATATCCTTTAGTCTCCTATAACAATTTCTACAAATCAGTTGTTAGAAAGTTGTACCTTTTCTTACATAGCAACAATTGTCACAGGTGAAAAGCAATGTTTTTCTGATTGAGGCTTTAACTGTAGATCCTATCTCACCTTAGTTTTCAGAATGATATACTATCAACTAAGATATTAAGGCTTCAAGTTTCAAACAGAAATCCCTGCCAGGACCTTTACATATTCCCAGCTATTTTCAAGAGAAAGTCACCATTATATTCAAACTGTGTACTACGTTTCATTTATCAAATGAATGAGTTAATTCACTACCATGTAATAACAAGTGTACCTATGTTACTCTTATAAGTCACTCTTTATATTTAACATTAATAATTTTATTTAATCCCACAACATGTGTTTTGAATCTACATATCAGAAGGCACATATTATGTCCATAATTTGGTTCTAGATGTAGGTTCCACAACTTAACAAATAAAAATAGGCAGAAAGCTTTATTAGTTGAGTTATCAGTGGTCCAAAGTCCAAGCAGTCAGCTTTCCAGACACTTCATTACATTAACTTCAGAAAGTTTAACACTCTAAAACTAGAGAAATTACATTCATTAAGTCAAAAACATATTCAATGCCTGAGCTGATATAAAAAGTACTTCTCTTGCTGAAATATAACACTCAGAAGGAAAATAATAAATGTATAGAAGTGCTCTTTACCTTACATGCATGTTTTCACAAGCTCCAGAGTATCGGAAAATTACGCATTTAGGTTACATCAACCACACACACACAAATTAGCCAGCCCTCACAAAAAATAAAGTAGGATACATGAAGGAAAAGCAAGAAAAAAAAAGTACAAAACTTAGGAGGAAAATGTTTGTATACAAATGTACTATACCAAAAACAATTCTGCAAAAAGTAAAGGATTCGATTATGTAGAAAATATATGTTAAAATAATTCATGAACAACATTAATGTTTTACTATGTTCAGTCACATTTAATTCAAACACAGTGTTCTGGTATTTAAGTTAGTAAATTTCTAAGCTAGCTTGATCATTACCTTTCTTTGTGAGGTTCACCTGAAAGAAGCAAATCACTCAGGCATAACTAGCCTGAATGCTTGAATAAGTCTAAACAATGCTGGAACTCAGCCAGAAAGAGTAAGGTAAGCACATATCAGTCACCTCACACTTATATCAAATTTAATCAAGAGGAAAGGTTTGTTTTCAAAACTAGACATGCATGTATG